TTGGCCAAGCCAAGCTCGGGGCCTGCAGGAGGTTCTTCTGCGCGCACAGGAATATATGCGTTTTATTAATGATTTCTGTTAAGTACTACTGAATGTGGGAAAGTATATGAAAATAAGAAATATATACAGATTAGTATTGCTTCTCAGACTGATACTGGCCGGATTGGCTGGAAAGATGTTCAAGCGAAAACTAACATATAAAAAAACTGCGGAAGACCTCCAGATATTATGTCGTACTTATCGGAACTTTAACGCTGCTTAACTAGTCGTTTCTATCAAAGTGTATATGAAAACTATAAGCACCGTTTAATTAGTTTTGAAGCCTGGCGTAAGGGTCACTTTATGTGAATAAAGTATTCATTTTTGTTGCTGGAACATTTGTGATTTTTCAGCCCACTGAAGCAAATGGAAGTGAAGAGGGAAAGTGACACGATCGTGAAATCTCTACCGGTCCGTCAGACCAGCGGACAAGACTCATTTCTGTAACGTCCATCATCCTCAGAAACTCTGGTCCATAAAAAAAAGGAGGAGGATGGGGTGATGAACTGGAGAGCAGGGCGACACCGTTATCGGTTTCACGCAGACACAACAACTTCAAAGGAATCTAGGCGCAACCACAGTCGGTCCTTTTCAAGATAGCCATCACCGTTTCAAGTGCTGATGTCATCAACATCATCACTGCCCTCCTAATCCCTAACTTCTACCAGGTCAGAATGATCGACAACAGGAGAGGGAAGAAACTAACATCACTGAAGCGTGTGATATGCCCTCTCCCTCCTGCTTGCCTCCCCCCGGCAGTGAACGCCAGCATCGTGTGTCAATCACTTCAAAAAATTATTCGAGCCATCCATCCAGTGTTTCACAACATCATCTTATGTCTCCACTCACAGAGTTCCTGAGAGAGACACTCAGACCAACAGCCGCGACACTTAGGGCAGAATATTTGGGTAGTCGGATTCCACTGAGTCCTCGAGAATTTCGGAGGTTGCTTTATAGGTTTAGGCAGGTAGCCAACAGCATCAGTAGAAGAAATTGTGCTAAAGTGCATCAACTTGCTGGTAGTAGTACTAAACGACTGCATCTGCCGGATGACCATGTAAGACCTCGTATTTCTTTGACAACATATATGTGATAGTGCACTACAAAACACGTCTACTGATTAAACATCAAGGCAAGTTTGCTCAAAATGCATTTCTAAGAAGATGGAATATTAAGAAATCACATAAGATCTGTGTACCAGTCTGCTTTGCTTGCAGGACGGGCCACCGTCTATAAGAATAGTAGTAGTCACGTAATATATGCTTTGGCATAGATTAGAAAAGCAGAATAGAGTGTTAGATCGTTAAGGGTTCTCGGGCTCATTCCATTAGTCACTTGTGTAGGATACAGACAATTGAACTAGACCAACGCTGCAGGTTGTGCGGAAGTAGATTAATTTATTCAAATCGGTCAAAAACACTAGCGAATTAAGTCATCTGGTGGAGTCTAGGTTGACTGCTCAAGAAATCCTGCTTGGGCAGTCACATTAGTGGGTTCAAATCCTGCAGTAGGCTGAGTGGGTAACAACATAAATGTGATTAAACTCATGGCCCCCATTGAAGCATCATACCTCAGGCGATGGTAGCTTTGATTGTACTTAAGTTTTGCACTTCTTCTCAAGCCTTCCAATCCCACTGAGGCCGCAGAGTTTTTCACAATAAGGTCAAACGATTTATTCTTTTTTTGTTTGATTGCATTTGTTTGTAAATTTGAAAAATTGTTAAAAGTCTGCAATAAAGGCGGTATGTTTTTAAAGTTTGAGTATTTAAAAACCAACTATTCTGCATTTTCTTCCAAAATTCAGGAACAGAAATATTTAGAAACCGTTTTTAAGTGGTTAATTGTCCGTCATTTTCCTTCCGAAGCTTGTTGAATATAGGTAGGAGAGCAGACCAGTCAATACAAACAGACTTTCTAGGTAGAGAATAGGATTCAACATAAAGGCCCAGACAATCTCTATCGGAGAGCCAACAGGTTACCGTGCACTTTATAGCGGTTGTAGCTTTAGTCTACACAATAGCCAGCCAATCAGGTGTACAGATTCGGTGCAAGAGTCACGTAATGTTCAGGTTGATTCCTAGATAGTTGCCGTATGCTTTCAGAAACCATTCCTGCAGAGACGCTGACTTCCCACTGATAAGATTTTTGAAAGTCCCGAGCCGAAACGCCGATGGGGAAGCTGGTGTAAGGAATGGTTTTTGTTCCTTTGTCAGCAAGAGACCCCCAGCGCAGGTGCTGGAATGTCACCCGGAAGGAAACTGTCAGCTGGAAGGCTTTCGCCTGTCTCTTCTTTGGCTAGCGTACGTAAAGGGGGAACAATTTGCCCCGGGGATTTGGAAGGTTGTAGCCCTGGAGTCTTTTGGAGACCTGTGTGCGCTAGTCCCTACCCGTTCTGCCCTTATGGAGCACTTCCGACACAACAGGAAATGTAGCGGG